ACACACACACACACACACACACACACACACACACACACACACACACACACACACACAATTAATGCTCACACCATCTCCTCTAGCTGTAACATAAACCTGCTAGTCACATACTGTATGTCTAATTGTGCTGCAGGGCAGAAGTGAAGTTTGTTCATGGAACAGTGGGGGAGGGTGATGAAGACTCCCTCTTCTTTTGTCTTCACACACTTTTCATGTTCTCAACTTTTCAGCCTGGGAGTCAATGTCCATATATCACTGTGCCTTTTTGTGCTGGGTGTGTGTTTTCATTCTTTGACTCAGATGCATCATGTATGTCATCACATTCCTCCATTTGTTACTGACACTGAACACACCTGCTGCTGCTCTGCCCTTCTACTTCTCGCCCTCCTCCCACGTTACAATCTCTTTCCACTTCCACGAAGGAGAAGCACCTTTAGTTTGTCATCTGCACCTGCCTGCGGTGTCTGCATGGAGTGAGTACATGTAGAGCAGTGTCTGTGTAATGGGTGGAAAAGAGGGAAGAAGGCGGAGTTGTGTTTTGCACTTAAATGGGTTGTGGAGAAACCTGCCTGTCTGCTTGGAGCTGGGAGAGGAGGAGCCTGTGGGGTGTGGGACTCCAGACAAAGGAGACATATACACACTGACACTGGATAACTGGAGACGCAGACAGCTGCACAGCTTCACTTTCCGCACACGATCCTCAACTCCTGCACCACTTTTCTCTCTGTGTGTTTTGGAAAACTTTTTTTGGCCGTGTGTGTTAAAAGGGGACATTGTGTGTGTCAGCTGTATGGCTCTGTTTTGTGAGCTGAGAGATACTGTGTTGGAACTGTGGTGGTTGTCTTCTGCTGCTTGTAGTGTGAAGTAGTGTGCATGTGAGTGTGTATGAGTGAGCATGATCGGGATGGGAAAGGGGGGCTGGCTTGACCAACTGCTCTGGTCTTAGCTTTGCGCCATGGGGGGTTGCCATAGTTACCCCTCGGCGACGGAGGCAGACAGCAAGACTCTCCAGCCTTCTGACATCAGCAATGACAAACTGTGAGTTAACTATCTTCTTCATGTTTCAGCTTCCTGTCTAAGTGTTTTGCATCTACTTTTTTAAACTCACTTTTATATACTTCTTTATTCTGAAAGAACAAAAACTAATATTTAAAAAGAAAGTTTTTAAATGTTAAAAACAACTCTGGATAATGTCTAAAAAACATGACTAGAAATCTGGCTGCACATGGTTTACTGAGGAATGTTCTCCAGAGAGAGAGAGAGTGTGTGTGTGGGTGAGTTACATATTTGTCTGATGGCATCAGTGAAGGTGGATTCCTCCAGCAGTGGGAACACACACACACACACACACACACACACTGAGCAGCAGTTTGAAGCCAGACGAGAAAACGCCATGTGAAAAACACACTTTTATCACAGTCACTATGCAAATGTTTGCTCTGGGATGAATCTTCTGAGAGTTGGCTGGAGCGAGCGCACTGGGGACTGTTTATCTCGCCCTCAGCTCAGAGGTAAAGGTAAACAGGCGTCTGTGAGCAGGAGAGCAGGGTCACAGAGGAGCATGTTTACATACAAACACGACGTGTTTTGTGTAGCTCCAGGTTCGCTGTGTTGTTTGCGTGCTGACAACTAGTAGCCAAGAGGCGGTGACCGAGTTAATACCATGGAGCTGGAGCAGAACAGGATGTTAACAAAAGAAGTTCCTGTGGACATTGGAAAAGCTCGTCACGGTTGGGGTTTGCACTGCTGTGCCTTTGCACAGTTAATGTTTACATTCTTCTCTACTATTCCTCCCTCTCTACCTCTTCTGACCTTTACTTTGGACAAAGAGCTGCTGTTTGGAACATTAAAACAAATTCTCTCTGCTCCGTCATCACACACACATTCACACCAGGGGGGGAGTGAGGTTTCATAGAGAGCACAGTGTTTCCCTTATCACAGCAGACAAGGTCACACTGAGTAAACACTCAGCTGCCGCACGTGTGCACGTCTAAAAACTGAACCTGGCAGCTGCTTTATTCCAGCACTCTGAAATATTCTCTTCAATCCGATGAAGCGTCTTTAAAAACAGACACAGAGTTCCGTACCTGTGTCATAGAGGCCTCCCTGTTTTGCATGAAGTCAAATCGTGCTGCCAAGTTTGACTTTTCAGTTAACTTTCCATACACAAACATGATTCATTTCCCATACTTACTCTCTGCAGTTAGTACCAGTCCCGTGTCACTGATAAAACAGCACTACCTGTAGCTTATCAGTAACATTGTGAACTGCAGCCTGCAGGCCTCAGCACTGATGTGTCCCAACATTAGGCCTCCCATTCATTTGCGATGACCACTGCAGCAGCTTCATTAACAGTAATTACCCTGGCTCTGAATTGACTGCCTTCGGTACATAAACTGCTACTTATTGGCCGCTCAGCTCTGCAGTTACGGCAGCGTTTGTATGTGTGTGTGTGTGTTCCATTCACAGAGGGCAGGGCAGATGAGAGCGCATCACACACTGTAAAAGTTGGTATCTACTGACTGCAGCAGGAGTAATTAATCCACTGACCTATCGATTGTTTTACACAGCAATATTTTCTGTCCCTCCGTCCTCCTCTCTGCTTCATTATCTCTGCACTCTCCTCCCAAGGGGAATTAACAACAATAATCTGGAGGAGCGTCCGTATCTGCAGCAGGAGAATGTGTGCCAACAGATCACACACACAGACATGTTGGTCCTCACGGCACTGCCACCAGGCGTAGACAACGCTGAGTGGCTCGCCAGCAACAGTGAGTAAAAACCATTCTTTGCTCTGCTGCTTATCCTTCCACACACACTGCAAACAGACAGAAATAGGCTTATCCACGATGTGTAATTTAACTTCCTCTTGATTTCTTTCAGCGGTGGCATTTTTCAAGCACATAAACCTGTTCTCCAGTGCACTGTCCGAATTCTGCACGCCCACCACCTGCCCAACTGCCTGTGGACCTGGCAACATGTATGTTATTTCAGAAATATGGCACAGCACAAAAAAATACATTTCCCAACTTTCTCCTTGTGGTATTTTATCATGATTTATGTGCCAAGCTCCATCCACATATCTTAGATTAACAAATGACAGAGTTGACTGAATAAACCAGAAAGTTGTTTGTTTTCTTAATTAATTGATGATGAATAATTCCAGAATCAGTTTCTGGTGCTTGTGTCCCACAAATGAAGTGAAAATCTCAATGCATTCATGACTTGGGTGAATTGGCCCTTTAATTCTTACACACATGTGCAGTTCTGCTCCTACAATGCAGCAAATAGTTGTGACATTAAAGACTATGATGTTGTTTTTATTATCTTCTTTAATGCATTATAATCTAGATATTTTGAGTAACACTTCTACTGGTATGTTAAACCTAAGTGACTGAGTGTGGAAGTTCATTTTTCACCTTTTAAACATCCATCCATTAATCGACTATCCTGCTTATTCTTTGAGGGTCATGTGGGGAGCTGGAGCTAATCCCAGCTGACATTGAGCGAGAGGCAATGTCATCAGTGTATCACAGGGCCAACGTCAACAACCATTCACTCTCACATTCACACCTATGGTCAAGTTAAAGTCTCCAATTAACCTAACAACAATCTGCATGTCTTTGGACTGAAGGGGGAGAACATGACCGAGGATTCAAACCTGGAACCTTCTTGCTGTGAGGCGGCAGTAATACCCACAGCACCAGCAGTTAAAAATAAATAAATTCTTGACCTTCAGCCACACCTTTCGACCACATCTTTCAGTCATCGCCAGGGAGTTAACTCTGCTATCATCATGTGATCCAGGAGCAGTGTCTTCACATTAATCCTTGATTCCTGTTGATGGGTTATGTTTTTAGCTCTGAGCAAATTTTTCTTCCAACGATGATTCTAATCTTACTCGATCACATTTTGATTCGAGAGCCTCCGCTACTTATGACAATTAATAAATGTAAGTTTACTATTAAAGTTAGATTGTTGTCCTCATGACTCTGTGTGTTGGTGTTGTCAGGATTTATGTCTGGACTGATGACCACGGCCGGAAGCTGAAGTGCTCGGCTCCGCTTTACTTTGACTATGCCATGTCTTACATTCAGGACCTACTCACTGATGAAGATGTGTTCCCCACAAAAGCAGGTGAAATTATTATGTTATCATCTTGTGTTGCATGACTTCACATCATTGAGGTTCTAGTTTCAGAATTAAGCTCACGTCTCTGCCCCTCTTTTCCCAGGTTCAGCGTTTCCAACAGGTTTTGTCTTTCTGGTCCAGAAGGTGTTTTTGCTGTTATTCAGGACCCTGTCCCACATTTACTGGTCCCACTACAGAGAGACAGTTGCTCTGGGTCTGCAGGCGCATCTCAACACACTCTTCACACACCTTACGCTCTTCTGCCAGCAGCACGCTCTGCTCGAGCCGGAAGACACCAAGCCGCTGCAGGACCTCATCGCAGCTCTCGGAAAGCTAGGCTGAAACTTAAGAGGACACAAACGCACATTTTCATCACATACTTTCTGATTGTGATTCTAGTGTCTCTGATCTCTCTGGGCCAAACTTCAACTTTATTCACAGCATGGATTTTTTTAATGGTCTGGAAGTTTTATCCAGTTGTATATAATTGTCATCAGTTATTCTAATAATGTGTAAAACATTAATTGTGCATGTTTGTGTATTTTAACATAATGGTGCATTATTTTATTTTGATAAGGTCAAGATCTTCAAGGTCAATCACGTGTTCCTCGTTGACTTAACACAGGAATCCTTTAGATAAACAGTTGTCACCTGACTCAGACAATTTACAGTTAATATGAACAAAATGATAATAATTTCCACAAACCTATAACGGTGGTGTGTCCATGCAAATGTGATGACATTATTGTGGCTGCATCTATATTGAATGGCACAGCTCATCTCTTAATGTATGACTCTGAGCTCTGTAATGAACATTAAAGAAGGACACTTTTCTGGATATAAGTAGATTCAGTATCTGCTCAGTGAAAATAACTGCTGGTTAACTTCTGTCAAGGTGTCTCCAGGTCTTTGGTTTGACAGCAGCGCTACCTGCTGGCAGCTTAGGAACACAGCACATAGTTTAACCTGCAGGCTCACGGAAGATAACGTTTGATTTGTTGGCTGCAGCATATCAACATTTTTCAGACAGAATAAAATCAGATTCATGACAATCTAAGTATTAAAAATGTTTTATTTTTCTGCTGTCAGCCACAGAACAGCTATATGCTTTTTTGAATAAGGCACAGACAGATTTTACACCCCCACTCAATTTAAAATCTTTAGTAGGATACATTTTTATTCATGCTATTATTTAAATGTATTACTTTTAGTATTTTGTATTTTTCTTTCAATGTGATGTGTAACCCCATATTTCACCACACTGTAAAGGGAAGATGACTTTAACGCAGGAGTGTAAAATACAACTTCATGAGGAAAGAGCCTTAAATAGGTGACAACAATTGCATGAAAATTGGAATAATTTCTTTAAAAGAAGTGGAAGATAAGTTTCCATTTGCTGACATCCCTCTTAAAATTATGATTTTGTTAAGAATGAAGTGTCAAACTTCTAGGAACTAGAAAACACGGAATTTTTACTTTTCTGTTATGCATGGAAATCACAGATCTACTGAATGTATAGGCAACAAACAATCCTTCACTCAGTGAAAATGTCCTGCAGACGATCTTCATATGAAAGAACACTGTGTCTCTTTAGTCTCTGCACCTCCCTGTCACCTTACTCAACCTCCTGCTGCACCCATTACACCTGACAGTAACAGTCTGCTTTTAACCCACTTTTACTGTGAGGACACATCGGTAAGTTTGATTTTGATCATCACAAGCTTTGTTTTCCGTTCTGGGAATAACCGTGATGTATGGGTTCTGAATTGGCTCAAAAATCAGAGTCTGGAGGATGGAAAGAGGGTTCAAGATGAAACATGGGGTGAAAGCAAGTGAAATATGTGTGCTGACAACCTGGGTGTGGTTAAGATTCTTACTCACAGGTCCTGAAATGTGAACAGATGTATACAGCTCACAGCTCAGACTGAAACTGAAACTCAGTCTCTGCAGTGAGAGCCAAAGCGTCTGTGAGATGAGAGGGAGAGGGGATCAGTCTGGACACACACACACACACACACACACACACAGAGGGTAGATACGAGATGTGTTAATGCACATGTTGGACTGAGTTGAGGTTCACAGTGTTGGAAACTGAGCTTAGAAGGTAATACCTCAAACTGCTGAGTCACACACACACACACGCTCTCGGGCCTTTAATTAAGACCTGAAGCGTCCTCCACATACAGAGCATTCTTTAATCGGGTTCACACTCTGAGCCTCTCGTCTGTGTCCTTGCTTCACAAAAAAGAAAAGACAAGTTGTTAGAGAGGGAGAAGGAGGAGAACAGGATCACTGCGACCAATGCTGACCCACACTAACTCTCTCCAGTCACTCCAAACTGTCTTCTATATGGACTAATACAAATCAAGGTACATCATGACAATAGAAACCAGGCTGGCTGACCTGTACTCACTTACACAACTAGATTAATTTGTCTGCCCACACACACAAACACATAAAAAGTAAAGATCCCAGAAAAGCACCACATTGTTTTTCCCTGCTTACTTTTCAATCATGTCAAAAGTCCTTAGACTAATTTAGTGACCTGTTGGGGGGATCTGGACCCCAGGTTGTGAACCAATGTGTTACAATACAATACAGTGACACCATTACACCTCAACAAACCTAACCAGCTGCAGCAGCAGATACACATGACCACATCTATTACTGCCGTACCAAGGTCTCTCATCCACCTGGGCAAGCTGCTTACATGTTGTAAATACCAAACTATACAAATAAAATGATTTATTTGTGTATGACTCGGCTCAGTATTGAACCGTTATTTATTTTTAATGAGATAGAATCTCTCCCTCGGTCGTTAAGAGAAATGTCAGTTCTTGTGTTTAACTTGACAAATGTCACAAGCATTTTTAAAAGGGCATGTGGGCACGACTGGAGCCTGACAAAGCGTTTACTGTATGTAGAGCTCAGATGCAACGTGTGATTTCTTTGTTGGGCAACAGTCATGAATGCCACAACCAGGAGCTTTGTGGTCTTTCATCTGTCAGCAGTAAAGTTTTACTGTGAGCAAATTATTGACAGATATGTGTATTTATCAGTTTCCTATCAATCGTGCAAAATCACTCTCACACTTCAAGGTCTTACTTGGATTCAGTTTTGATTCCCTATACCTCAGTAGCACCTCTTATAACCAAATAGATTAAATTGCTTCAGGATGATTTGGGTTTATTTTTGTCCAACACGTTTATTTCTGCACAAACTCTGCTTATTTAACAAAACATCGGGCACAAATATGAATTCCCAGAGTAAAAAGACACTAGAGGCAATATCAAATCTATAAGGTCACCAGGGCCCCCATAAAACAATACATCCTAATCATGTACTTTACCTCTACTGCCTCTAGATTAAATGTGGAAAGTCATTCCTGAGGTTTAGTGAGGTAGTGGGATTCATTAGAGGTGAGGTCTCAGAGTAGGACACACAATAAGCCTTCCTCCCCCCCTCCTCCTCTTCCTCCTCCCTCAGCAGGGTTTTATAAATGACAAAGCTCCACCTGCTCCCGATGTGAGCCCCAATGACTCTCTGAGTTGTCACCTACTTTGTTGTTGGTTTTTACGCAGATTTTTTTCATCAGCAGCAGTGAGAGGAGCAGTGTGTGTTTGTGTGTGTGTGTATGTGCGCGCAGAGGATGCAACGCGCAGGACTGAGGATGCAGCCGGTATCACTCCAGCAGGAGAACCTGCGTGTTTGATAGAATTTGACGAGTTTGGATTTTAACGCATCATATCGTCCCCCCGGGACCGTGCGTCTCCGCTGCGACGCCATGTGTGCGCTCCCGCCGGCGTGGCTGTGGCTGCTGCTCGGACTCCTGCCTCTGGAGCTCCAGGCCCGGGCTGTGACTCTGCAGAGCCTCTCTCACAGACACAGGTACCACTGCCTCACATCAAGCTGAAGGTGGAGACTGAGACTGATGGAACAGCACTTTTATTTAAAGTATACATTTAACCTGTAGCTTGCTTTGAAAAGTATGATTCAGGTTGTGCTTTCTGCAAGGAATTAAACTTGAAGTCTTGATGTATTTTAACATATTGTGATGATGCTTCTTAGTTCCAAACTAATTAACTTATTTGTTTACATTATTGTGACTTATTAACTAATAAACTTTGATAATAACTTGGATATACCAAAGATTTTCTGGCTCCAGCTTCTCAAATGTGAAGATTCACTGTTTTTCTCAGTTTTTCTATTGTTTCAAACAAATGTTTTCAAGACAGCACCTTAGGGAACTCTGGGTTCCTCTGACGTGCATTTATCACTCTCTTAATGCTAAGTTATCGATTAATTAATCAAAGGTTAGTCATTAAAAGTTCTGCTTCTGGTGTCCTGGCAGTCATTAATGTGAGAAAAAGGTCCAGAAGCAGAATGAGGTAATTCCTCTAAGAGCCACAGGAAGTGAGACAGGGTTGAGGCGATTTAGTGGGATTTGGGACAAGGATTCATGGCACATACCAAGGGGGCAAACAAGACTACAGCACACACACACACACACACACACACACACACACACAAATAAGAGTTCAAGTTGGATATTCAAACTGCTAAGAACCCAAGAGCTTGTTTAATTCAGTGATTCAGTGGTATTTATTCACTCAGTAAGCCTATTATTTTTCAATTTGTTATTTTTGCACTATTATTTAGTTTTTCTAAATTTGACTCACTAAAGTTTTTTAACTTTAAGAAAAAATGGCTTCATTAAGGTCTTTGAAGGTTTGGACGCTATAGGTAGTTAAGGTGGAAAAGAAGGGAGGATTCAAGAATGATGAAAAACACTGCTGCTGCAAGAAAGAAAAGAAGAGAGGAAGAAAAATTTAAGAATCCGGTAGTAATTTAGAGAAGACAGAGAGAAAGAGGCAGAATAAAATGGAAAGGCCCAGTAACTAGAATAAGAGTAGTGAAACAGTGGGGATCTGATAAGGACAAAAAGTTTTCCTTGCGCAAAGTAGAGTTGAGGAGTAACAACAGGAAGGTGTGTGTGTGTTTGTGTGTGTGTGTGTGTGTGTGTTTGTTCTGTTCCTCTTCGAACAACCCCATGCTGCGCTCTAACTTGGGAGGAATGTTGAAGAAGTTCCTTCTGCTCTCAGGCTCTCAACATGGTTCACAGCCTAGACTACAATGCAACACACACAGACAGACAGACACAGACAGACAGACACACACACACACACACACACACACACACAGAACTGTGTTCATGTTCTGCTCTGTGGCAGAAGGTTTTAAGGCTGAATCATATAATATATGGCAGCAACATAAAAGAGCCTGGCTCGTGGTTGAGACATTGTTTTGAGTTCTACCTGAAAGGGTTTGTGAAGTATGAAGCAGAATTACTATCCAACTGCACAGCTCCTCTCAGCTATATGGGTTTCAGTGTCTTTCAACGCATTGTTTTGGTTTCCCGCTCACTGCACATCAGTGTCATTTCCAGCATCATGCTGTTGAAAAGCTTTGATCATCACGGCACCATTGTGCCTGCCCAGCACCACATGCCACACAGAAAAAGTTTGCTAAACTTTGTGGAGCATTTAGCTGCTAAAAAACTGCTTGTTTATTTCAGCAGTTGATGGAGACCAAAAAAGGAGAGTGGATATTGGGCTTACATTCATCAGGAGGAGAAAAAACGTTTCTCCAAACCAGTCCAAAGCTTTTGCTCTATCTGCTGTATGAGAATAAAGGCTGTTCTTGAGAATTAACACTGCAATATCAACTTCACAGCTGTTGATTGGTCAGTGTTTTCTTTAACAACTTGTGTCTGTTGCTCCCAAGTGGCCAAATTAAATTTATGTGGCAACCCCGGCTTATAGACAACAACCCTCCACCACAATGTCTCCAGCTCAGATCTGTCCTGGAAGCTTTTTTAAATCTCTGTCTCCACTATTATTATCTAATAAATTCACTAGGTATTACTATTTTAATAATTTACTAAGAACGTAACGTTTACAAATCCCAGTCTCACTTTATCACTCACTAATGTGTTGTGTTGTGTTGCAGTTCAGTGGTCTAGATTTTCTACCTCTGCACCAAGGGCCTTTTACTTTAGACAACTGTGTTTAAACCTCAAAGCAGGTAGGCTTTTTCTCTTGTGCAGCGTGTGTGTGTGTGTGTGTGTGTGTGTGTGTGTGTGGGAGAGAACGTGTGTTGTCAGGCAGTGTTTATGCGTATCAGTGAGTGGGTTTTTCTGTTGGAAAATCTTTGTTGCTAGGCAGTCACGTGTGTATCCATTAATTCCCTGCCAACCAACATTATGCCAGTGTATGTGTGTGTTTTTGTTTGTTTGTATTTGTGACTTTGTCGAGGGCTGCCAGAATCAGCTTCAACAAGAAAAAGCTTTCAGTCACTGGTATAACCCACAATAGTTACTTGGTTAGGGAATGTGGGTACGTGTGTGTGTGTGTGTGTGTGTGTGCCAGAAGACTGATCAGAATACCATTCAGGATCAGTTACAGGATAAAGATCATATGATGTTCTGGCCCAGTTTTCACACCAAACACAAAATATCTTTACTCTCTGTTTCTCACCGCTATACACTTAACTTATTTAATTTACAATACACATATACTTTTATTTTTATCTACACTTTTGAATTTCCTTCAGTATTAATAAAGTCTTATCTTATCTTACATGACACCTCTATACGCTGCACTTTTTCTATCACACATTAAGCACAGCTGTCAATTTTGGGGTTCATTATCTTGCCGCTGCAGACCAGAGGAGCTGGGGATCAAACCACTGAACTTTTGACATCCTGCTCCACAGCCACTCATATAGGTTTATACTTCATGGTGATGGCATCGCCCTAAATCTGTTACTATCACTAAAATTACTGTCATTGTGATATTACAACCTACATTGAGTAAAGGCTGTAGAGCACCCTGGTCCCCTGGCTACTTTAGGTTATCCATTCTAAGTATTGCGTAATTTCTGACTGGTCACATGGCCAAACAGAAGAGCTCACTCTAGCGACTGAGCTCTTGAACATGAGAGCGAGAGAAGGTATTGTGAGGCGAGACTGCCGCAAGGTGTGAAAGAAAGTACTTCAAACTCAAGTCAAGAGAAGTGGCCTCTTACCATCGACCACATTTTGCTGTGTTTTTCCCTCTCACTCCCCTGTTGTAAGATTTGACAGCTCAGATCCTGCTTATGGTTAACATGAAATATTTTTTAGCTGTGTTGGTGATACGTGAGTGGAAGACAGTGTCAGTCCATTGTTTGTTGACTCAGTCAGTTTAAACCACTTTAGACTGGATAGGTGCAGGAAGCTGGACAACGTCTAGAGTTCACTAATGGCTATTTGGGATGTTAAAATTTAAATGATTGACTAAGAAACATGACAACTTGTCACTCTTTAACTGTGTTTTGAGGGTCCATGTGAACATATAGTCAAGATGTAGTATGAGTATGAAGTCTTAAGGGTTCAAAGAAATTCTGTTCGCATTTTAACCACATTTAAATTCACTGGATCCAGATTTTTATTCTGATCCACACCAAAATGCACACACAGATACCCACCTCCTGAGTATACCAGCTTTTTTCCCTTAAAATCCATGCATCATTGTCTAGAAAATACCCCCCCTAAAGCAACTCTATATCGCAATGTTAACAAAAGTAATTTAAAAAAATTGGATCAGATAGCGCCTCAAAGAAAAATCCCATTGGCTTTTTATCAAAAAAACAAGGTTGATGTTAACGTCCAGGTCAAATACGTCATCAGTGCAGCACATGATAGTCAATGACACACACACACAGACAGTGTAATTGTAAGTGTAAAGCAATCTGTCGCACTATAATGAAGCCGACTCCCACCTGCTCACCACCCTCTGTCTATCTCTCCTTCTATCTTTCCTTCTCAATTTCTCTTTAAATCACCTCTTTGAGAGTCACAGATTGAGTACAGTAGACATTCCTGCAGTGCAAGCTTCTCATCTCGTCGTAGGGATCCTCTTTCGATCAGAAACCCAAGCAGCTGTCCACCATCTGTGAGTGTCTGTCCTACGGCTTTTAAGTTGCGTCTAAACATTTTCTGTCTTTCTCTATATCACAGGTTGAGTTTATCCAGAAGTTCTAAACACCCAAAGTCTTCTCGTCACACCACCGTGGTGCCTACTGTGTCTAATCACGTAGTTGCCACAGACAACCACGTTCCCCTAAGAGACATCTGGAGTGCCCTGCTGCACAAAGAGGCCCCGCTGCACTCGTCCAACAGATTGCTTGACCAAAGCAATGTGCTGCAAGAAGCACCGGTTTGGCAGCGTGGGTCAAGAGGTCGTCGTCATGCCAACACTGGTGGTGGGCGGGGCCACAGCTACCTGATGAGGGTGGGTTGTGTCCTAGGCACCTGTCAGGTTCAGAACCTCAGCCACCGTCTCTACCAGCTGATTGGACAGAGCGGGAGGGAAGACTCCTCCCCCATTAACCCTCGCAGTCCTCACAGTTATGGCTAAGACCCCACCTCAAATCCAACAACATGTTGACACTGAGACACGTTTGCAAGCTACCCGGGCCTTGTGGCACAGTGACACACTAAGGGACGAAAACAAGGCTTTGATGTTTGTCCATAAATTGGCTATTGTGGTTTGTAACAACTTGTCTTATTTCATATACTAGTTTTGATCATTTTCGTGTTTTATAAAATCTAGGAATGAGTCAACTTTGCAAGAATCACAACCAAAACAAAGGAGGGTAGTAGAACTAACACCCAAACTATCCATTGTTAATGTCCATCACAGTTTACCACAAACCTGCAAGAAAGAAACTTTATTTATTTATTCTTTCAACTCAATTTCGACAAAGCAGTGCCTTATATCCGTGATTATAATGTACTCATTGCAAAAAAAATAAAAAACTCAAATGCATCGACATTACTTAAAAACCGATAAAAGCATAAATAAAGATTCATAGCAGGCCACCATCCCTCCAACATATGACATTACATCCTCGTCATACAATCCTAAACTTTGATTATTTATATTTTGAAAAACATTTAAATCAGCTACAATCAGTATTTATTATAATAGAAATGTATCCATATGAAAAAGGCCAATCATAGGGACACATTTACAGATAATTATCACCTGAATCTGCAGCTCCTTTGACAGCGAGTACATAGTAAATATTGTGGAGCATTTAGAAGCTACTTTAAATGTATATTTTCTTCAGACATTGGTAGGGACCAAAACCAGAGCCAAAACACAGTAAATTTTGGAAATATTTGCTATGTGACCAGAAACATGACACCAAATAGCAACTACGCCAACAGGGTCACTATTTAAGCATAAAAATGATAAAGGCTATGTCAAAGGTATGTTCACAGGTTGTGTCTGATACTACCATTGCTACTAACTGCATTTAATAGAAGTTATTCAGTTTATGCTGCTTGTAGATTAGTTTGAAAGCAATGGTGCTAACATTGAATTGAATTTATGATCACCGTCATTTCAGAGGTGCTTCTAGCATTAATGGTTTAGATAATCTGGTTTCATTTTTGCTGTGTTTGATAATCTGATTGAGAACAAATGCCATCAGACTATTGTGTACCATAATGATGGTTATGGATACGTTGGTCAACACCATGAAAATAAGATTTAATAAACCAGAATTTCTACATTTCTTACTTATGGCATTTCACTGCAGTTCTGGACTGCGTATGAGATTCCTTAAATTAGTCATTGTTATTGGCCACATTACCACCAGTTTCTTCAGTGAAACTTAATGATTTGTGTTGTAGGCATTCATACAGTAACAACCATTTCAGACAACATGTGTAGAAGGAAAACTGTGAATCAGCGAAGCCTCTGTCGAACTAGCCGACCAATGTCTGCTATCTTCATCAGTGGTGATCCTGCTGATCTGAACTTACCTGAGCCCTGAGCTAATCCAGCCCATCTCTCAAAAGCTCGAACAAGTAGCTTTACCTCAGTGTCAAACCCAGTTAACCCTTCACCCAAAACCCCACAGTGCAGACCATCAGCCAAAATAACCACTAACCCTAATCCATTATCTGTCTGCACACTTCTTAACAGATAACCTGTTATCACGGTCTCAGAGAGCGGACCAGAGAGAAGACAACAATGCTCTAGCGTGCTTTTTACCTGTGAAGTGTAAAAATAAGATGCAACATTTTGATTTTTGCAACTAGAAAGTGTTTTTTGAGTCTTAATTGGTATAATTAATTCATAAGGCCTTATATTTTGCCTTTCAAGTGTTATTTAAGGCTTCATAGTCTTATGCTTTTCTATGTATGTCAGTTCAAGCGTTTTGAGTGGTCATCAAGATTAGAAAAGCGCTATACAAACCATTTCATCATAACTCCAGTTCAGTAGATGCTCTTACAGGTCAAATGTTCATAGGAATGCATGAAAGCACTTTTTTCTCTTGTATATTCACTATGACTTGAATTTCCAACGTTATTTAACTTTCAATTAATGAGATAATTTTGCTGTGAGTTTTCCACTTTACTAAATCTTCCTGTTTATGTGAGACCCCCCCCATGGTATAAGTGTCCTTCTCTGAACTGCCTGTGATACTCTTCATCTCTCTTTGTTAATACAATAGCAGCATTGTGTAATAAAACCCCAGTCAAATCTTCACGTGTTTTATCTGTTTGATCTAGCAACACTCTGAGGTGCAAATGTGACCTATTTTAGGTTAATGTACACTGAATTTACGACTGGAAAATTTGGTCTCACTACATATTAGTGACAATGATTATTAATCTTGGCTAATACACACACACACACACACACACACACACACACACACACACACACACACACTCACACACAGGTATGTAAGGTCATGTTGGCCTTGACAAATTCTGTGGCATTGGACTTTTCACTTGACCTGTTCTTTACTCTCATTGGCCTGTGTGTGTGTGTGTGTGTGTTTGTGTGTGTGTGAGAGAGAGTTTTAGTGAAGATGTGTGTTAATCGAATAAAAAACTGAAGCAGTTAAGATGGGATCCTAAATTTACCATAATGCAACTGGATACGATTCAAGACATTAAACCTTAAGTGTAAGGTTAAGGTGAGATGTTTGATGTTTTTTAACCACTTCAATGTCACACATTTTTCCTTCAACTATTTTCTTGGAGATTCAAATGTGTTATGCTAGTGGTGACTAACGTGTAGCTGATATTAAAGTCCTCTGCAGCTGGCTAACTCTCTAACTCCACACCTCCAGATTGTTTTCATTTTCAAACTTGTGGTATTCATTCAGTCTTCACCCAACTGATACTGACTCTGGTTACATCACTTGAGGCAGTTTATGACACTCAGTCCAAATGGCTTTTCAACTTTTTTTTAGATATATCGTTGTACTCCCATGGATTCAAACTTTGATGCTTGACTTCCCTTTACACCGTAAATTATCTGTGCTGTTCTAAAACATTTCTATTTTTCCTTTTCAGAAGACATCCCATTTCTCTCAGTTTTTGTGGACAATTAGAAATTTGTCTCTAATCAAAATATAACAGAATGGAACTTCATCAACAAAAAATGTTACCCATTGAACTGATAATTTTCTGACTACTTTCCTACAGGAAAGTTGAATGCAAAACATTCCCTGGGAGCTGATGATTACACCACGTCAGCTCACATTGCCAAACTTAATGTCTCTAATGACGGACGATTAAATGCACAACATAACAAAAGAAAAAAAACATCTTTTACATGTGAATCATCATTTCCTTCACACTATGCGCGGGGAGGCAAGTAGGACCAACACGCTACGACACAGCAGCTTTCAACTTCATCTGCCAACTATGAGGCTCTTAAGTATCGTAGGTGGAGACTGTGCTTCCATTTTTTTCTCTCAGATTTTTACTTTAATAAATACGCACATATGTATCCAAGTAAACTCTGAAAATGTTACACTTTGTTATTCGAAATGCAGGGTCCAGAGCCATCTCTGGCATATCGGCCGAACTTGGAAAAGAATGAAAACAAAGACTACAGAAACTTTGAGGTAAGCATTCATGACCTCACTTTAGGAGATGTCACAACAAGGTTTTTGGATATGTAAGATTTGTAAGTAAAAGATGACGCTACTGATGAAATTTAGAAGTATACAATTTAATAAGTAGTTACGATCATTTTAATGGACATTTATAAACACAAATGTAGAAGGCAATTTATAACTAAATGACACATGAATAATCTTGAGAGGGTCAGTACAGGGTCTGGGTGCCACACAGCTAATATTACTAACTGTAGCCCAGCACACACACATGCATGTACGTACACACACAAGCACACATAAACACACACACGTAAAACATGTTATGTCATCGTGATGTTAAGAAATTATGTGGCATTGGTCTGTGTGTGTATGTGTGCGTACGTACATGCATGTGTGTGCTGGGATACAGTTCTATCTTTGTGAGGACCAGTTTGACGATTAGAAGATTTTGGCTGGTACTTACTTTCTGACCCACATTCAAAAACTGATCAGGGTTGGCACACAATGAGCGGCGCACACTTTAGGAGCTGGGAAGAAAGCTGCTGAGATGACTACTGGTCTCACTTAGCAGGTGGGTCCTCATGTAATCACAGAAGTAGAGTTGAACAGATTTGTAAATAGCTCTGGCTTTTACTCTTTATTTTATGTTAGACATCACTACTTGTGACTGACAAAGAGCAAAATGAAGCAAAATGAAGCAAAACACTCAAACTCCTCAAATATTTGATGTTTCTGCTTGCGCGTGTTTGTGTATCCAGGCAATGACCTCTCTGATAATAAGTGTGGCTGCAAACCAAAAGTAAAACTCTATATATTTATTCACCAATCCATGAGATATTGCATCATTAGCTAATGTACGTTTCTGAATATGCATTGTAATTAATACAATAAAGACTCTGATTTGTAAATTCAGTGCAAAGCATGTGAGAGGGACACCTGTTGGTGGCCTGGTGCCAAACAGGATGTGTGTGTGTGTGTGTGTGTGTGGACCAGGAGATTTGATACTGAGAAATCAATCACCAATTCTTAGTAATAATGTGGTCAATACTCAGAAATTAGAATGTGCGCATGAAAGCAGACTCCTCTTATTTAATTAAATTTCCTTAATTCTTTTAATGTGTATACAAGAAAGTTACTTGGTGGTTGCAGGTACAGGTGTTGTTACAGGTCCACTTTATAAACTATATGCAGGTTTTTGAAGAAACTAAAGAAAATAATAAGTGTAAAAGTACTTATTAATAATAACAAATCATAATATATATATATTATATGGTTAAAATAAGTAGAAAACTATGACACAAAGAACTACTGAGTCATTCTACATCAGTCAAATTAGGTAACCTGCTGATTATTGGAAAACTCTGGGGGACACAAACAAACACACAGTCACGACCAAGGTTCAACACAGTGAACCCAATTAGATGAGGTTGGGTTAAAATGTGACTGGATGCCGGTGAGTCCTGCATGTATACCTACAGCACAGGTCAAAAGCAGGGTATATATATATATGTGCACTTGTGCAGGGAAGCAGACGGGCAGTCTCCGAGGATCAACACAACTCAGGAGCTGCAAAGATTTCATTGCCCGGCCATGAGTGTCATTAATATTGTATGAAAAGGCTCCGCTTTCATTTTTTTGGATGCATCTATGTAAAGACTGAACATGTTTTTGCACTCTTTCTCTTTTAAACACAGGGTCCAGACCCATCTCTGGCATATCGGCCGAACTTGGAGAGAAATGAAAACAAAGAGAAGGAAGACTACAGAAATTTTGAGGTAAGCTTTCAAAGCCTGTCTTCAGGAGACAGCACTTCATTTAAGGCTAAATGGGCAAACAAAGTCATATAAGTCTACTGTTTTAATCATTAACACAGTTGCTACTTGAACTGATGACCAGCAACTTCCGAGTGAGATTTGATTCTACCACATGAAACAAGCACAGCTTTGCATCTCTTCCCTGATTCTCCAATCAATACCTTATCAACTTCCTCAAACATCATCATCTATTCATTTCAACAAACTCAGTGATTGAAATGTTCTTTTGTTGGCAGTGGTAAGGGGCACTTCACCCTTCCTCTTAGCTTGCACTGATGAACCTTCTCTCCAGCATTTTGCAAAATTTGCTGTATTGCTAAGTCCTGGTAACTTTTGACAGAAATGCAGATGTTGTAGACGGTTGACGTTGTTGGTTGTTTACAGTCAAAAAGGCTACAAAAAAGCTAAAACTGTCTTTTTGCTATATTAATTCAACAGAGGGTTCCGACTCTTTATTTAATACAAGAATGATCTTGTAAGAGACTTGATCTGTTTTTTAGAATGGAAGCCTGATTGACCGAGTCTTCAGGACGTATACGTTGATGCACACCAACCAAACCCTGGACTTTGTAAAGAAAAAGGTGAGGTCTGGAGGGAAAGCAACATGAAAATTTAACAACTTCTGATGACAAACCTGCTCAGAGATGTTTTGTTCAGTTTCTGCTTTGCACTGGCCAATAGATGTTCTGTCTGGAATAAACCTTGGGTTCAACATCATTTTCCTTCAGTTCAGAGGTAACACAGGGGCATTTTCCGGTTATGTATCCTGGACTTCTGGGATATCGTAAAATAATTTACTGTTAAAAGAAGAAAGAATGTCCTTTTAACATATTGAATATGAGTGGTGACTTTTTTCTGTTTACTGAACACAAACTGTCAGGGGCTTAAACTGAGTAAACATGAAGTGATTCAAACTGATTCCAGATGAACCTGAGTTTTCTAACCATTACAAGTTTTAGAGAAAAAACCTCCTCAGTAATAACGTGACTCTCACCTTCCTGCAGCACTATGAATGGATCAGCTGTAACCACACTCAGATGGGGATGATGGACGCCGTCATGTCCCTGGACCAGTTGGTGGATGAGTCCGATCCTGACGTGGACTTCCCCAACTCCTTTCACGCCTTCCAGACCGCAGAGGGTATCCGCCAAGCCCACCCTGACAAAGGTACCACACAACGAGAGACAGACTAACACACGGAATATACTGAATGCTGTATGAGCATTTTTGGTACATAACTCTATTAATATTCACTGTCCCTCCTCCAGACTGGTTCCACTTGGTGGGTCTGATTCATGATGTCGGGAAGATCATGGCTCTTTGGGACGAACCTCAGGTAAGAGACAGGTTCAGCAGAGGTAAAGCTAGATTCACAACCTCACTGCTGAATAGCTGTTTTCCAACATTTACATAATGCATGTATAAATGTAATGTTTATTATGTGTTTTTATTTTGTCGTCTGCAATGCATGTTTTATCTTTTCAATATTTTCACTGGTACTTTATTTCTCTTCTTAGATCCTTTTTGTCTGTTTATATAACACACATTTGGTTTTGATAGTATACAAAAGTACTGTAGTATTTGAAAGAATATGTGTTTATGTTTATGGTTAATGTGTAAAACATCAAACCTCAAGTTTCAGGATATTTTTATTTCTTACTATCGTTATGCCCCAAAACAATAACCCCTTTGATATTTTAAAATCTGAATAAACATATGGACATATAACCCATTGTACTCTGTGTGTGTGTGTGTGTCTGTGTTCTCTGCAGTGGGCAGTCGTGGGCGACACCTTCCCTGTGGGATGCAAGCACCAAAAATCCATTGTGTTCAGAGACAACACCTTCCTTGAAAACCCAGATGAAAAAAATCCCACCTACAAGTTTGTACTCTCATGTTCCCTTATCAAAGTTATTAATCTCAGTTTGATGGTTAACTTTGTTCATTTAAATATGCACTTTGCAGTAAGACCTATACTTGTAATCTTCAATAAATACAGTAATGTTGAGCTAAAGATTCACAGAGATTCTTTCTGATCATTTTGTTAGTTTAGAATAAAGAAAAAGCAAAGATTGAAATAAAACTGATGAAATGAAATGTCTGTAAACCATAATCCATCAGTCATAATGTATTTCAGCACTACCATTATCAATATTATGCATTGGCAAGTTATTTAATTAGCAGGGAGTTGATTTATTTTTTCTCTCTTCAGTACTGAACATGGGATCTATGAACCAAACTGTGGGCTGGACAACGTCCTCATGTCCTGGGGCCATGATGGTACGAGAAATCCTCGCATTCTCTCTCACTCACTGCTGCTCCCTTCAACTCCAGCAGACATTTTCTTCTGTATAAATACTTTAAACATTGCCAAACCTCTCCATTATGCTACAAACTATTTCTTCTAATCAATGTTGTAGATACCTCGTCTTGGCAGAGGGATCCCTCACATGTTGCTCTCTCTGAGGTTCCTCCATTGCAGTACCCTTAAAGGTCCAGTGTGTAAGATTTAGGTGAAAGGGAACTATTGGTAGAAATTTAATGTAGAATAATCCTCATGTGTTCACTAGTTCATTTCATCTAAATTGTATGATTTGTAGTTTTCTTTACCCCAGAAAAGGCTGTTTATATTTAAATACTTTATATTTACATCGAGGGGGTCCTCTCTACGGAGGCCACAATGTTTTTTAGTGCAGACTGGACAAACTAAACACATTTTGAGTTTTTATGACAATTAAAGGCTACCACAGGTTCTTCTTCATGTTTGGAAGGAGAGGGTGAGGTGAGGGGTGTTCAGCTGCATCATGCAATTTCAACACTAGATATCACTAAAATCTACACACTGTACCTTTAAATATCAGTCCCCTAAAAATGACTGAATTCTTTTTCATCAAGATCCATGAGTTGTTCCCTGGGAAAACACCCCATCTCAAAATGTTAAACTAGGAAAAGAAAAATCCTGGTTCCACCTCCTTGGAGGTAAAAAGATGTGTACTTCCATTGAAGTGCCTGTTTAACTTAACTTTAACATTGTTTGACCTCCTGTGTTGTCCTCAGAGTATCTCTACAGAGTTCTGAAGTTTAACAAGTGCCAGATCCCAGAGGAGGTGAGTTGACATTTACCTTAAATCACTATTGAAAGGTTTTAGATAATGAACTTCACACAGGAGTGAAAGCTGATGATTCTTGTTGTTCTCGCGTAAAGAATAAATAAGCAAAAGCCGTGCAGTAAAGCTGCAGTGAACTCCTGGCAGTGCTCACAGGCTTAGTTCTGTCTCTCTTCAGGGTCTGTACATGATTCGGTTCCACTCATTCTACCCCTGGCACTCCCACGGAGACTACACGCACCTGTGCAACGACAAAGACCTCAGTATGATCCCCTGGGTCCAAGAGTTTAAGTGAGTATCCTCCTGTTACATATTCAAATTATTCTACTCCCTGTTCTGAACCGACGCTCGACTTCTATATCCTCTCCGCAGCAAATTTGACCTGTACACAAAGACCACCGACATGCCCGATGTTGACAAACTGAAGAGCTACTACCAGTCTCTGATTGACAAGTACTGTCCTGGAAAACTGAAGTGGTGAAACAGACGACAAAGATCTCAATGATGAAAATGATATGCTTTATATTATACTATAGCTGGAATTATCGTTATCACAGAATATATCCTGAGCAGCTGTATATAAAATCTTGTGCACACACACAAAGTTCTTAAAATGAAACTGGTGGATATGTAACCTCATTACGACACATATTCAATACAAAGTTAAAGAAAAGCATTTTTATTTCATGGCATTTTCATCTTCTAAAAAAAACTGTACTGTTTTAAGTACTGCAATATTTGGTGTGAATTTTCCATCTCGATTACTGAGAATGAAAAAGGACACAGTAATGTGAAAACAAAGAAAAGGTGCAGAGTTACTGTAAAGTTCTGTGCATACAGCAATAGAGGCAAGGAACAAACACAGCACAAACACGCACAAACCCAGACATACACAAACACAACAACACGAGTGCAACCACACTTTACAAAAACAGAAGTGGCACAGTAACATGGAAAAAACAGAAGCATTCTTATATTTCAAATTCAGTGTTTCTACTTTGATTCCACATGATTTGATTTGCTGAATAAATGTCCCTTTGAAAGTTGAGCAATCCAATAAGGAAAGTTTTAAAATGTGTGATCTGTAACATGAGCTCTGTTGAATAAAAACCAATGATCCACAGTGATTAGGTGACTGGTTTCTGATGTAGACAGCTGATTGACAAACACTGTACTGCAGGAAGTCGCAGGTGAAAAGCTGTAAATAACTTTTTCTGTAAATTAGTTGATTGAGAACAAAATATACAAAGAATGAAAATAATTTCTTTGGTCATTTTGAAAACATGTCAAGGCAGGCGATGATAGTAGTCAATACCTGAAACTTTATCAGATCTTTTCCTTTTGGAGGATCTCATCTTTCCCTTGTCTTGCTTTATCATCCTCCTCCTCCTCCTCTTCTTCTTCCTCACCCTCCTCGTCATCACCAACATTGTCCTTCTCTTCTTCCTCATCTTCACTGTGCTCTTCTTCGTCTTCCTCCTCCTCTTTTTGATCACCCGTCTGATCGGTCACAGTCACAGCAGCCTCCTCAGCAAGTGGGCTCTCTTTGCTCCTGTTTCGCAATCCCTGGAGGAGACAGAAGGTGGCGCTGCAGGCAATGAGGGTCCAGATGAGTGTGTGGGCAGGAACTCCTCTGACCTGTGAACGCACCCACCTGACCGCCTGGGCAACGGTCCTGTTGGACATGGGACGTGGTGACGATTTGTCCTACAGACAAATAAAAAACGATTTCAACTGATTAAAGCAGGAAAAGTGACATTTCTTTCACATGTTTTCCAAAGTTTCTAATGAAAAATGTATAATAGATAAAACAGAGAAAAAGAGATGAGTTTGAAGATGCATTTACCTTGAGTCCATACTGATTGAGCAGGCTCTCCAGGGCTGTGTTACCCAGGTGCACTGTGGGATAGAATTCTTCATCATAGACCCTCCTCCACCAGCGCTGTGGGTAAGAGCTGCCAACAAAGATCAGCCATAGAGTTAATGTCCTGTTCTGTGTACAGGTGAAGAAGAATCTGAGATGTTATAATGTTTGTTGTTTTATTATGAAAAGACTGAAACCACAACATCATGTCAAGTTAAATAAATGAATATCAAACATTGTGTGATATTCAGATAATAAATAATATAAAAAGTATGTTTACTGAGGCCGTGTTTTCACAGGAAAAATTAAGTGAACTAGACAACTCCTGCATAAGATAAAAGAAGATATCTTAAGATTGATCCCTTGCAGGGGAAATTCAATGTGACGCAGCATCACAAAAACAGTAGCAGCGCAATGGGAAATGTAAGAAATAAAAGAATAATAATATACAGTGACAAAATACAATGGATACCTAAACAGGAATCATTTAAAATCATTTCAAGACAGTGACAAAACTGTGATAAATCATGTTAGTACTCGTGTATTTGCAACTAATATTTCACAGAGTTGCGAGCTTTCAGTGCAGAGGGAGAAGGACAGAGAGAAAGAGAGCACTAACCCATCAGCTTTGGGTAGAGTGAACCAGTATCTGTAGCGATGAGCTCGGACGTAGGCAGGAGGCTGCTGGTGGAACGGATACTGAGACACATCTGTCTGAATCAACTCGATCACTGCAGACACACAAAAAAAACATTTAGATATTTATCAAATTGTCCCTGAAGGCCTCATTAATAAGCGGACAATGACGCACATGCTGTGACATCAGAGTAAGGGTGTTGGAAAAAACAAAAAAAGTTGCAGCTTTACTAGTAAACAATATCTGGTTTGTGACCCCCTCCCCGTCAGCTTGCTCGCATTTGCTGTTATGAGTTTCTATCGGAGCCAATTATAAATCTGGGAGGCTCATTTCGAAGCTTTCAGTTTTAAAAAGGTTAAAACAAAGTTTTACTGTTGCTTAACATACACAGTAGTGCTGTAGATTTCTTTCCTATTTGATTCGAAGATGAATCATGATGAATCTCTTTTAAAAGACTAAACAGAGACACAGCATTAAAATAAACTGTAGTACTCCGAGGGAGCATACCATCTCTCTTTCCCTGCAGCAGTCTGTACATGAGGCTGGTGAACCACGGAGCCTGTGTATGAGGCCCGAGGGCAGCAAACCACATCTGCCAGTCCAACCTGGGCTGGTGAGGCGTCACCACAGCGGGAGGTGCACTTAGGTTCCCAGGCTTATACATAAACTCAATCTCCTAGATGGGAAAAAAGAAATATATATACAGTGTGTATATATATATATATATATATATTACATAACTTGAAATGGTTTATATTGCACAATTGCAGATTTTTAAAACTAGATGCATCTTATGAAACAAGTTTAAATTAAGGGAATCAATTCACAGCCATAGGCCAGTTGAAACCATCAGGATTTGTTTCCTCTCACCGTCCACGTGATTCCGTCATTACTTCCCTCGATGATGACTTCTGGCCGCCCGCCAACACCTGTCATTCTTCTGAAGAGGCCGTACGAATTGACCAGCTGGTAGCGATCCACAAGCTCATAGGTCCGACGCACTCCTGGCCACAACCTGGCATGAGAGTCATGCTCAATATAGGTGAAGGGAACCTGAAACAGAAAAGGTCATGAGAGTCAAAGTGACGTCACATGAGAGAATACACTGATAATCTGACTTGCTACAACACGAAGATGCCAGAATCTGAGTGATGATTTATATAGGGACTAATACTGCTGACTGGTTGGGAGATTGAACTGAACAATAATAGTGATTCAGCTACATGATATGAAGCTCAACCTTCACTAAACGTCCAACAGCACTCACCAGACTGACAGTGAACATGGCAACAGCAGCAGCAGCGAGCACAGTCCACTGAACGGTGCCCCAAAACCTCTTCAGGAAACCAGAGACACACGCACACCTGCAAAATCACATCGGGTAGATCATTTTTGTAGTGCTGATTTACATCAACACATTTTCTATAAATAAAAAAGCAACTCCACACCAGGAAAGACTTACCTGAACATCGCTGTTATCATTTCCCAGGTGAGAGAGAGAACCCCAATCCAGATAGAGGGGATTATGACAGTCTTCAGAAACTGGTTAAACTGGTGAAATGTGATTGCTGTGAAGACAAAAATGTCAACAAATAAAACTGCAAATGCAAATCGCTTCTACACACACGCCATAGACTGTATATAAATATGGACAACATGACAGCTCCCCAAATATGAAGGTAATTCATTTTGATCGCCCCCCCCCCCCACTGGTGGCTGGGTGAAGCTCATAAACTGTCACCTGGATCAGACATGGACCAAACTACAAAGTCAAAGTACAGGTTTAAAAGATTTTCCCAAAGATGGTTTCTATCATTTTAGGACTTCTCTGGTAATTTTGGTTTCAATCAGTTAATGCAATAAAAACAGGGTGAAACATCATGATTGACAGTTGAGACCGACTCGAGATTGGTCGTGTGGGTGTGTGGATGTGACCCTGATGCTGCAGCTCCACTCCACGATCAGTACCACGCAGACCCTGACCCAAAACGATGTCAAAACCGCAAAATTGCAGCTCCCTTATCCAGAATATTTGAGCTTAATTTTTGCACTACGAGAGAAAGACGAAACACGTTGTCCATCTTAATACACAGTCTACGTTTGACAGCCACAACTCAATACCGGTTCTGGAGGAGATGCCCTTCTTCACCGTATCCAGCTTTAGATCAAAGCATATAATTGATCCAAAGACCATGAGGGACCAAACTGCCAGTTCCACCAGATAAAACAGCCACGACCACAGTCTGGACTCTGATCAGAGCAGAGAGAGGGGGAAAAAGAAAGGGTGATTCTCTGGTATATATTTAAGTCCATATTAATGCTCTGTATGTGTGACAGGGTTCATGTGAATTAGTAGTTAAAAACTTTCTGATCACAATTTGTTAACTTTGTAGGTGCTGGTGGGGGTTAAATAAAATAACATGGATATTATATTATTAAAGTGATCCTTAACATCTGGCAAACAAGTGATAGCAAGATTGATTTTCTTCCAAATTTGAATGTTTACATAAATATACATATGTTTAATCATACCGCTGTTGTTGGTCTTGTCTACCCTGCCTAACCAGAAATGAACATGCTGATCATCCAGCAGTGACAGGGAGAGAGCCAATGTCAGCAGGTTGAAATAGTTGTAATTTCCAGACAAGATAATGAGAACCTGCAGCAGCACCTACACAAGGGAGACAGTTAATTGCAGACTGTTAAGAGACAGTGTGGAGAATTTCTAGAAGTATTCAGAACCACTGTACAACCATTAAGTTGATCAAATCAAGAAGTAAACTTAAAGGTGATTACTACTTTTCACAAAAATTTATCATTCAGCAAATTAAAGAGGGAAAATTAAATCATAAAACTTTTAGTAGCATCTGAACCATCATTCTACCCACCTGCAAGTAAAAAGAGCCAAGTCTCAGCCGACGTATAGGACTGAAGAACAAAAAAGGTGCGGCGATCTCGATGACAAAGGTTCCCACCACGCTGAGCTTCTGCCACCACATGGGCAAATGGTGGGCGAACCAGGCCAGAGGTGTCGGAATACACTGAGTCTCATAGTGATACGTCAAAGCTGTTCATCACAAGGAAAAACCAACAATGGAAATTCATTAATTGACAGAAAGAAATAAAAGGCTGAAAAGAATTAATATCAGTTACAGTGACAATGAGATGATGTAAGAGGAGTTTAACTGCAGGTTTTAACTGTTGTCCTGGGATTTCTTTCCAGTATAATTTACATCTATGTGTATCAAAAACGTGCCTGGAACCAGTTTGCCCTTTTACAATTCACATTTATGACACAAATTGAACTCAGAGACGCTTGCACTAGCCTGTCAGGCCCCACCACGTGGGACAGCGTGATGTGAGCTTCACCACACCAGAAGCAAACATGAGCCGGAAGAGAAGCCAGCGGATCAACCAGAAGGTCACACGATCGTGCTCCCTTACCCCGCGTGACCCTCTGATTATTGTCAGTGGAGCAACGAGGATACAGAGGAAACCGGTCTCTAGGAGCAGGTTGTCCCTGTTGAAAGAGCAGAGGGAAACAAATGTGTGTCAGTGGTATTTCAAACAGCCTTGGGCTCTTTCTTCCAACTACTATTCATAGAAGTAATGCGTATATACACATATGTGCTATAGACATCAAGAAATTTTTTTTTTTATCATAATGTCCATAACACTCACCACTGGAAGTAGAGGAACACCTGGCCCACCTGAAACAAACATATATGTTTGATGAGGAATAGCATGCCACCTGAAAACATTGACGAGGAAAGAAAAACAGAATACAGCTGATATAACTTCACCTGGTACATGGACAGGTACAAGGCCCAGAGGCAGAAAAACACCACGCTGTCTCGCAGAGCCTCCACCAGCGTGGCGGCGAGGCTCAGCGCGGCCCCAATGAGACACAGCAGCTCCATGGCAGTGTGCGTGTCCAGGCCGAGCCAAGGTCCGAGCCACAGGAGGGTGGGAGAGGACACCAGCTGTTCCTTGAGGGACTTACCGCTGTATGGCAGCTGCCAACGAGCCGGCAACAACCCATCGTTACCATAGAGACCTGTAAATAAACACGTAAACCACGTTAAAGAGCGTCATAGAGTTAAAAAGGTGTCCTGTCATTAATGTCACAAACAACAGCCTTAGTTGTACACTCTTTCTATATAAGATGTTTGCGTTTGACTGTTGTCCATCAACACTCTGAGATCCCTGTGACTCTCTGTGTTGATCCTTTCTGCAGGAAGCTCCTAATAAAATACACAAAGACTAATTTGGCCTGTTGTATTTTCAGATTTCAATCAATTTACAACAATCAATCAATTCAAAATGATCAATTTACAACAATAAAAGACAAATACGAGCAGAAACTTGTCATTCAAGAGGCTGCTGGGATTATTTGGAAAGTAGTTTTCAATTCTTTTCCTTATTGATGAATGGACTAATCTTTTCACCCCTGCATTGGAAGGCACAGCATGTATGCATTCAAATCTTCCTGTGCTAGTTTCTGTATTCTATAGAATATAAACAATGAAAACCACATCATGTCATTTAACTCAAAATCCATTCAATGGGAGCTGCAGACATTAAAGAAAACTATTATAATTATTATTACAGGTGTATCCAAGGCAGCTGTAAAGATTTGGTTAACGGGGATACAAATAAAATAAAAAAACTGGACTCAGAATAATACATGTAATCTAAACAAAGTTTTTTTCTGTAGCACTACTAGCACATGGTTGTGGGCGTCTAGAGATCAGCTGGACAGTAGCTGTCGGGGTTTTATTGATGCTGTGTTCCATCAGTGTTAGTGTGTAAAGTCTGTGTTTGCAGCAGGAGGAGTCTCTCGGTCTCAGCAGCTCGTTGAGCAGGAAAAAGTTCAATTTCCAGGCGGAGGAAGTAAGACGGTGAGCGCAGCTAACAAGCTAACACAGTGGGTTCCAGTGAGAGTTAGCTCGCCTGGTGTTAGCTCACTCACCTGGTATCTGCACATACAGGGAAACAAAGGCGGCCACATAGATGAGCGACATGCTCCAGAGGAACATGCGCCTCGGCAGGACTATTTCTCCCATGCCTGGGCCGAGTTGCTAACCGGAACAGCGACTGGGTTCCACGCTGATCCAGCGCGTTTTAACGTAGCCTTCGGCGGGCGGACACGTAGCGATGAACGGACGGTGTGATGAAGTTCATCCGTACGGGCTCAAGATGTCGCTGTCGTTAATTATGGCCGTTATGCTGCATTTAATCTGCACCAGAAAACACTACACACACATATAT